AGTCTTGAAGCTAAGCAGCCATGTTTTAGAAATTACATTAAAATAAGTGAAATAAAGAAAGATTAGCAAGCCTTAATTTTCTTGAGACAAGCAAACTAAATATCCATTTGTTATTTTTGTGGGATGGTAGAATGGTTTGGAGGAATAAAATTAATGTAGATTAATACATTAAAATTAACCTGTAATTTATCATCAAAATTATTATATATATACACACACACATATATATATATACATATTACTTCCAATTACCCATTTTATTCATCATGTGTATTTTCCATATGTAATTATGCCTTCTGACCTCCCTATAAACTCTTTTATGCTTTGATATTTTGCTTGTCTAGGGTAAACCAAGAATTTTCTGGGGCTTCCCTTTGATTGATGGAAAATAGATCCCACCCAGTGTAAAAAGCAAGATATTTAGACTCATGAAACAATAAATCCAGATTGCTCACAATCATACTTATTTTTCAGGTTATTTTAGGCTATTAATGAAAGAATACCATGAAGACAACCTGGCATTAATAAGTGTGGTTCCCTCAGTCTAACAAGCTCCCTCTCCTTACCTTTAATACAACAGAATATTTGGTGAAACATATAAGTGAAGAACAATGAAATAATGAGATGTCATTTTCTTTAACACTTTGACAATATGAATAGAAATAACAACAGAACTTTTACTTTTGAGCGTGTTCCAGGATCTTACATGAAACTCATTCCTGGCTTAAAATATTTCATGTTCTGATATGTTGAGTTATTACAGTAACGATGAAAAGAGAAGAGAGGTATCCAGTGGACATTGTGATGGAAATAAGAAAAGTACACAAAGGAAAAGACCAGATACAAAGGTGTTGGCAATGCATTCTCATGGGACAATTGCTGCTTATGAGTAAGAGTGAAGATATGAGTTGTATGGAGCCTAACACCCATTCAGATATAGAAAGCTAATGGTCCAAGTTCCAGAAAATTTTCAATGACTTAGTCTAATTATCTCAGCTAGCTTTTGTGAGTATTAATTGCAATGTCAACAAAACATGTTGTGAAAAGCTTATCCATGGAGAACTTATCTTAGAAACATTTTCCTCCCTTCAGTTTACCTTACTATTTTCACATGATCCTTAAGTCAGTTCATTTGAGGTTAAGTTATGGAAAAGAATCAAAAGGAAAGATCATAACAGTTGTAAATTAGTGCTGCAGTGATATGTAGACCTTCTCATTACAACTGGGGGCATTGCTCATTCTGAAAACATTAGACAGTGTTTATTGCATTGCCTTGTTCAGGTGCTTCAGTCAAGACAAAGAAGAGATTACAGAAGTTGGGAGGAAATGAACAGGAAAGTAAGAGGCAGAAATAGAATCTGATGAGTCTTGAAAATCAAGAAGACTGAGCATAGTGTGAGAATTGCCAGTGGTGGGAAGCCATTCTCTGGTAACATACAAGTAACACAATTGCATTTATTAAGCAAACTCTACTGATGAGCTATCTTTAAACTAAAACTCTCTTAATGGACAATTTATGGACCTGTTGTAATAGTACTTAACATTTACTTATTTATTTTTACCAACTATCTAACATGATTTGTCTTTGTTCACTCTATTTCTCTATTCATGGTTACTACATCTAAAACAATAATTGCAGTGTGACAAAGCTAAGTTAGTCTACTGCTTCAGCTGTTTAGGTGCAAAAAAAAAAAAAAAAAATCAAACCAAAAACTCACAGAGATCATTTGGGCTTCATCCATGCTTTCTGGAGTTTTGATAGAGTAATTGTGGCAGCAGGTGAGAGACTTGATCAGAAACTCCTGATCCTCAAAAAATCCAAGCATATATATATATATATATATATATATATATATATATATATAATAATTAATATTAAGTTAATTGGAGTCTGGAAAATAAGTGAGTTAATCCACAATAAGAATGATATTGCACTCAATAGATGTGTGCTTTTTAAATTTTAAATCTGCATAAAATCTAAGATTAAAGACTTAACAATGTGAACATTTTGATGCTACCTGTCTTCTTATTGAGGTCTATAATCTCAGTTTGTTCTTCACCTAAATGTCAAATTTCTCCAACCCTATTGATTTTCTCTAATATTTTGTTATTTTCCTTAAACCTTTCCTTATTGAAGGGAAGTCTTAAAAAATAACAACACTAGTGAATACAAAGTGTCTTAGAGATAATTTTTCTCCAGAATCTGGGCTCTGTATCAGGTATATTGTATCTATATCCATTAATGTATCGGTTCCTGTTTAACCAAATTGATATGTGTCCTTTAACTATGCATTAACCACTGAGCATTCTCTTCAGGCCTATCTAGGCATTTTTAAATTATAGATTTTCTTTCTATTACAAGTGAATATATATAACAGTACCATCCAGTGTCAATCATAAATTCTGACTGAAAAAGTGTCAAGTTTGACAAAAGTAGATATAACAAACTGACGATTTTTAGGAAATAGTAAACAATGAAATAAAAAATAAGTATTTATATACTATTTAATGTATAATCTTAAATATTATATACTGTTAATAACTGATTATTTAAAACTGATAATCAGCTTTTGTTTAAAAGTTAGATTAACAGGAATGTTAAAAATTTGTAAGAGGGTCAGTAAGAATGAGGAATGAGAAGCATGAATAAAAACACAACAACACATCTATTGCAAATGCTGACATATATTCTCATGATGCCCATTGTTTACTGAAGCCCTTTTTTTTAAATCTCCTTTATGTTGACTGACCTTGAGCAGCTAACATGCAGTCATCAGAAGGAGAGAGCCTGCCAACTAGCCCCTACTCAATGAACTGTAACACTGGAGATTTCTAGCAGGGTTCCTAACTCTGGTTTTTTTTCCCTCCCTCTTGGCATGCTTTCCATTTGGATTGGTTCTGTTTCCTACACCCAACTGACTACAATGCACTCCAACCTTCTTGGTTATCTGCAGTGAACTTTGTGAAAATATTTCTCGTATCTTAAAAGCTAGAACTGGACATCAGAATTCTCCCCTAACCACAATGATTATAGTTATATGCCACAATTATACTTTTTAAATTAAATTTTAGAGAAAATCTTGAACAAATCATTTCATTTTATTTTTTCAAGTCAGGTTCCCCAAAACTTTCTCATTCTCAATTTGCTTTTACAGCCAGAGACTTTCTTGTGTAATAATACAAGAATGTCATATCACTGTACACCTGTGGATATGCATTACTTGACACTTGATCGTCAATACTTTCTCTTGTAAACACAGGTAATGTCATTAGCATTAAGGTTTTTGGGAGAAAGAAGATGGAAATAAGTGAGGTACTTACAAATTGGTCATATGACTCTGTTGCTGAAGTTAACTGAGTCCAGATGAGGGTATGGGAAAAAAAGTGAATAAAGAGATAACATGAATGCATATTTATTGCAAAAAAAGTGAGTAAAGCAATAACATGAATGCATATTTATTGCAAAACAAAACAAACAAACAAACAAAAAAAAAGGATATTCTCTGGGTGCCCATATTGGTACTGAAGCCATGTCTAGTGTTTTTTCCTTGACACTAACTAGCCTTGAACAGGTAACATACAGTCCTTGGGAAGACAGTACCCTGTTTCTTTTTTAAAACAGCCTTCCCAATAAATAAACCTCTGTACCAGAAACCTTTAAACATGATTTCCAGCATTTGGGAGTTTATGAGAAGGTAATATGTTGTTGTTGTTGTTGTCTGTTTTTTTTTTCCTTCCTTGAATTATCAGTTTAGATTCATTCTATCTATTCATTGTGACTTAGTTCAATGTAGTTTTTCTGTATTGGATGTCTCCAGTGTGCTACGTAATGATGTCAACAGCAAATGGTTTACAGCAGAAAGATCATGGAATTATAGTCATTCTCTGGATACAACTACTAAAGCATTATGATGAAAGTGTTTTAACATAAACAACAATTATAAAGAGAGAAAGACTTTAAAAAACATTCTATTTATTACAAGCCAGAAACTTCTAGAAGCTGGGCCCTGTATTCTGCTTTGCAGTAGCTAGCACTTTCTTTTTTTTACCCTTGGAGGAATATTACTTGAAAACTGGATTCTTTTGCAGGCTAAGTTCAGTCAAGGTCATTAACCTGAAGGCTTTGGGGGGAAAGATGTTGGAAGTAAGGGAGGTACTTACAAATTTATGGTGAAATTTTTCAGAGAATTCACTGTCGGTCTGAGACAGGATGAAGGGAATGACAGAAAAACTAGTGAGTTAAAGGGCAATATCAATTCATATTTTTTACTAAAACACACTCATTCTTCCTGTGTCCATTTCTGTACAAAAACCTTGTCTGCTACATCCTCCTTGATAGTGACTGTCCTTGACCAGTAAACATACAGACCACTGGATCAGAGAACCTGTTCCTCTTCTAAATTAGCTTCTAAGTGAATAAATGCATGCATTGTAACCCCTTAGACAAGGATGTCAAGGATTGCAAAGTTTGAGAAGTTAGTGTGTGTGTGTGTGTGTGTGTGTGTGTGTGTGTGTGTGTGTGTGTGTGTGCATCACATGCATTTGGTGGTTTGTTTGGCCTTCCCTCTTGCAACACCATCACAATTTAGTTACACTTATTCCATATGACTCATTGTAATGCACTCTTCTCTATTAGATGTCTGCCTTGTGCTAAGTAAAGATGGTAACAGAGACTGGCCTCCAGCAAGCATGGTAAGGAAGTCAGAGCTCTTCCTCAGCTGGGTCTATTAGATGTTTATGCCACAAATAAAAATTTAAGAAAATTTAAAGATAAGTAGGGGGAATTTCCATAGTTCATTGAATTCTTCAATCTTTGAAATTTCAGGAATCTTGCCCCATTCTCCTTATTTCATTTTTTTTCAATAGCTGATGTTTTATTTTATAATTAGAACCATGCTTTTTTAGAACTTTGGTTCATGATAATTGTAAATAAGGTACAGGACGTTCTTTTACAGGAAGGTTGTTTTGTGAAATAAGCCAGAAATGAGTGAAATACTTACATATATCCTACGCATATCAATGTTGAGCTTACTGATATTCTGAGACAGCATCATGGCATGATCAATCAGTTCCTTCAGGTAGAGTTGATCATCATCAGTCTCATTGCTACTCAAAGGCACAGAGGTCACATTCACCCATAAAAGGAGGTTCAAGACCAGCATCAGCAGAAATGCCCCTGCTAACAGAAGCAAGAGGCATTAAGATCCATTTATCCAAAGTTATCAAAAAAAAATTTCATCATTTTTTCCCAGTGCCTTCCACTGTGTGATTTGATACTGTATAGCAGAGGTAGTGAAAAATCACTTTCACTGTGAAAATGTATAGTGTCAGAATTTAGTGTCTTCCCACAGTCTGGGATACATATCAGAAATAATTCTGAAATTTTTTAAATTAAATTAATTGTTTTTCAGTTCAGTGTTGTAAGAATTTATGCTGGTTTTCGATTATCACTTCCTCCAAAACATCATTTTTTTCTGTAACTTTGAGATTTAATAGTTACATCATTTAGCCCTTCCTTTTCCCCCTCTTAATCTTTCCATATACTTTGCCTTACTCTTTAAAATTCAAGTCATTTTTTCCTCATTAATAGCTGTTAGGTAAATATATGTGTGTATATTCATACAAACATATATATATATATATATATATTTAAGAATATGTGCAACCTTACATTTATGACTGACCATTAATATTAGATAACCAAGTGGTATCTTTTCCTTGGGAATGACTTTCTCACACTCTCATAATGCCATAGTTGCCTGAAGTTCTTTGTGTAGGGTTGAGGCCTCCTGGGTTTTACTTCATCCATGTTCCTATGCCTATTGTTTTTGTCTTCATTCAGCTCATGATTAGGCAATCACATTGGTGAGATTTTATGGGTGCAGCTTCTGACATTCCTAGGAGATACAATCTCAGAGCAACCCATCTATTCCTCTGTACAAAACCCATACCTAAGCCTCAGAAGCCATTCTGGAAAATGGAGAGAAGAAATATGAGTTTTCTAAACTAAGTGTGCAGTGCCTTCATTTTACAGGGTAGTATGGTAGCTTTTGTTCTATCTTCATGTCTTAAAAGAGTAAATACTGAGTGACTACTGTGTAACACAGAGAATGATGGGATTCCTTTTATGAAAAGGAACCTTTGAACTGATTTACTATCTTCCAGTAATAATTCAAGCTTCAGAGTGTCTTTTCTATAACATGGAACTTTCCAATAACCCCCTGGTTAGACCAATCCTGTGTAATGTCATCAAACAGTACTCTGGAAAGAAAAGACCTATAGAATGAATTGATTTTTTTCTCTCTATATCCTAGCATCAGCTGTTGTAAGACAGATTGTCAACATTATGGGCTTTGTATTATGCATTGTGATTCAGTATGTACCCAGGATCTCTCAGTTATAACTGGGTCTTCAGTTACATAGTCTTCGGGCTCAGTGTGAACAGACTTTGTTACTTATAGGGATCTAGGTTTATCTTTTAGCACTATACTACAGAAGTAATCTTTATTTTAGTTATTTGTCTTGTCTTTCAAACAACATCTTTTAAATGAGTTTCTTTCTGACAATAAGCAGTGTTGGTGTCATCTTTAAATTACATTTTATAGGTGGAAAACATAAGCACTTAACCATACTGATAATTAATGCTTTCCTGGAAATGAAGCACCATGTAGACATCAAAATGAAAAAAAATCTTTAGTGAACGAGTATGAAAAAGCTGCTTGTGTCCAATATCTTTGAATAATGCAATAGTAAATATTTAAAATTAAATTAGGATACTGAAAATTTTATTTATAGTAAAAATAACCCAAATCACAAATATTCAAAATAATTAAAACATCAAAAATCTGTATAGTACATATTCAACCATCAATTATAATCTAAAGAAAATAAAAATAGGATAAATCCTTTTAAATTTTTATTCCATTTTTTGAGATTATGATAATTATCTTTTCTTTCTTGGCTCCAAAATCTCCTTTCTCTTTTAAATTCATCAATATTTATTTAGTTGTTACATACATACATACACACAAACACACACACACACCTTCGAATATATAGATATATGTATGTAATGTGCAATTGTATGTGTATGTTTTTTAGGGCTGACCCTTTGATATTATATATAAATTGGGAAACTTTTCCCTTGGGAAAACTACTTCTTATAAAGATAAATTTTTAAAAATCATAATGCTTTCCTTAATTTATCTTATGCATAGTAGATATACATGTATACGGTAAGTACATGTACATTCCTTTCATTTATTATCTGAATAATATTCACAGTTTAATCTGAGTGCAAGGAGCTAAAGATACTGTTTTTTTTCTCACAAATTTAAATCATAGAAACTTCATCAAGAAGAGAATGTAAATATTACATAGTATTGTTTTTGAAACATAGTTTGTTAAATTGACAATTCTAGATTTAGATGGATACAGACTTATCTGCTACTGTAGAGTACTAAGTCCCCATGTTAGAAAATATTATTGTTTATTCAAGTCAAGCAGAGATCCAAAAACCAGAACATGTACAGTCTCCCTTTTATAATTACTACAAATTCAGTATACAATCTCCTTTTAACTCATTCCAGTCAAATATCTCAATCTCTGCAGTTTGACTTTTTGATGTCAATCATTTCATGCCCTGGTCATCCGAGGTTGTGTAACACTTGCTCTTACCACTAGGTACTGAAAATATCCCTTTCTATCTACATCAATTAAGAAAATTTACAGTGACTCTATATAATTCTACATGTCTCCTGGAATGGTAACTCATTTTAATAACCACTGATACAAGAGTGTGTGATGTTATTTCTTTCTATATAAATGATTAGAAAGCCTCTCAGCTTTATCTGATTTTACTTGTCAGGATTAGGCATGAGCAACATTCCGTTCATACCAAAAAGGGTATAAAGGATACAAAAATGTAAATCGTGGAATGACTTAGCTTAGTTAAAGGAGCATGGAGAGATAGTTACTTACAGGAGCACAGTTGATAGAAAGGCTGTGACATCTCTGTAGAGCCCTGGAACAGCTGGGCTGCTTCCCTGCAGTTCCACCTCCAGTTAATTTTCCACATCCTATATAGAGCACTGAGCCAACCCAAAGGCCACACACTGCTGGGAGGAAAGAAGAATTAACATCAGGAATAAAGGTGAGGATCATATAACTCTTCAACTTCAGGCAGGATCTATCATCCTCATGACCATGTGATTCAAGTAGTCAATATGATCTGTTCAGCTTATTTCAAGACTATTTCTTGTGTCTAAATTAACTTGCAAATCACTACAGCCATTTCTGCTCCATAGTTAGTATTAATTCCACATCCTAGCAAAATATCTATGTCTCAGACTTTTACTTTTCTTCATTTACTTACATGTATCTGTCACTGAATCTTGGTTAAGGTAACATATTTACTTAACTGTTTCTTAGCATGGCAACACAAGGCCGCAGGAAGAGTACTGCATTCTTAACAATTTATCATGTATGATTATGTGTGTGTGTGTGTTCCAAGATCCAAGAAACACTAAAGTGTTAGTTTCTACACACTAGGCACAATTGGTCAGTAATGTAACGTGCAAATCCAGACATGTAGAGGACGTTTTTACTTTTTTGTTTGTTTGTTTGATTGGTTGGTTGGTTGGTTTGTTAGTTTGTTGGTCATTTTGTTTTGTTTTTCTTTGGGTGTTTTAGTTGTTTTTCTTGTTTTGTAGTCAAAGTACCTTCATTAAACAAACATCACACAAGGTCTTCATGTTGTAACTTAGAATATCCTAAGTCACAGATTTTTCAGGCAGACCTACCTACACAAATATAGATTCCATAATAAAGTGGATTTAAATTTAATCAGAATGTACTTGGTTGCACATATAGCAATGGTATACAGTTGATTGAGTATAAACATCAGAAGTGGATGGGTAGTTGCATTTATTTGTTTTAAGAAGGTCTCTTTGTGACATTTCATAATAATGGCCAGGGCAGTGTCATCTGAAAGTAAAGCAAGAGTGGAATCTTCATTTCAGTCAGTTAGATATTTCTTTATTATGCAACCATATCATGTGCTATACCATTCCCTCATCTGTTAAATGTACTATTATTTGCAATAAACACATTGATAAAAGTCTATATTGCATGGATGAACCCTTTCCGAGAAGTCAATAGCAGGGTCTGGTCAGAGCTGAAATCCTTTGAATAGAGGAGGAGATACAAGTGGTGTTCTCCTGATGTTGTGATGGTCTTTTGCTACTGGGAATCACCAAGCAAAAAAGAATCTGACTTACAGAACCAATCCAATACAAGTAAACTCTCATTCCCTAAACACCTCTATCTCCTTACTTCATAGTCCCAATTCACTTAAAAATCAAAGCAGGCTTTCCAGTTGGACTGCAGCTTTCTCCTCTAAATCAAAGTTAAAAGAAATATTCAGAGTTTCCTGTCTCATATCCAATGAGCCACCTGGTATAAGACAGATGAAAACCAAAATGTAAGGACTATCATTGTCAAAGTTCTATTATCTACCCAAAACCATGTTTTTCTCCATACTTATTTTCTTCTTTATTGGTACCTTTCCTTGTATGCATAACTACATATATTTTAAACTTTCCATTTTGATATTAATGTTAAAGTCTTCACAGTAAACAATAAATTTTCCTATCAACAATCTCTGAAGTCTCCAAAAAGATGAGGTTCCACAACATTGATCCCATCTGGTTCAAAATGAGTCTTTGAACTGGTAAACACCAAACAGTCAAGGATTGATTTTGAAATAAAACTTCTCTAGACAATTCCAGATTAGCTAGCTAAGATAGTCCACCTGCTTACAACATTCTGGACAGACCTTCAGATGAGAACTTCAGATAAGCCTCACCTGCTTCTCACAAACCAGCCACAGATGTTACAGCTGGTCATGAGATTTAACCATTGCTTTAGTTGCTTTTGTTTGTTTGTTTGTTTGTTTCTTTTCAGGATCCCATAGGGAAAACATTCCCCCCCCCCAAGACAGCTGGAAGTAATTTTAAGAAAATTACTTAAGAAAATTTCCCTATAATTGGTTTAAATGGTGTTTTGTTTTTTCCCCAAGGATATGGATAATTGTCACCTGTTTAGGGTTGGTTATAAGTTCTGTAGTTGTGAGGGTGGAATATGAAGTTCAGATACAAGAATCTCTCTAGGAAAAGTATAATGGGATGGAATATAGGTAGATTAATATATCTTCTTGTTAACTATTTTATCAACTATTAGCTATAGACAAACTACATTGTTATATATTATTGTATGTTGAGCTTGGCCCAGTGTTTAGCTATAGATCTCTGCATCTGCTTCCATCAGTTGCTGGATGAAGGTTCTATGATGGTAATTCAGGTAATCATCAATCTGATTATTTTTAAATACCTGAAGAAACAGCTGGCTTGGGCTAGTGGAAGCTCACTGACTCTAGACTGATATCAGGGGAACCTGTATGGGACCAAACTAGTCCCTCTGAATGTGGGTGACAGTTGTGTGGCTTGGGCAGTCTGTGGGGCCACTGGCAGTGAGACCAGAATTTATCCCTAGTGCTTGAACTGTCTATTTATAGACCATTCTCTTTGGAGGATACCTTGCTCAGCATAGATGATGTGGGGAGGGCCTTGGTTATGCCTCAATCGGATGGGCCAGACTTCATGACTCCCCATGGGAAGGAAGTCTTTCCTTCTCTGAGGAGTGGATGGGGTATGGGGTTACGGAGAGCAGGATGAGGAAAGGGAGTGGAAACAAGGATTAGTATGTAAAATGAGAAAATGTTTTTAAAAAATTTTAAAGAAAAAATAAAGA